GATGTTTACCATCAATAATTACATTAAATGAGATGGAAGTGATTGATGCTTATCATCAATAATTATATTAATATCATTTCAATCAATGTTATTTCCTTTCAATAAATTAGTGCAAAAATTATGCTATTGTAATTTTCCTATCCATAAGAATAAAAATGGGTTATTGCCTATTCCCATCCAAAGGTTGTTCGGCTATTTATTAACTTGAGGCAAATAATGAAGATCATCTTATAAGTATTATTTTCAACCTTGTGTTGATTAGGAGTTGTGATTTTTCTCGAATTAAACCAACTAAGGAGGTTGATGCTCCCTCGAAGTATCCTACAATATTATTAACATAGGTAGAGCACGCAAGGACGATCCTTATTCTCTACCCATTCACAAAACCACTACAAGGTCGCAAACTCGGGCACGTAACAACTTGATATCAGAGCCAGACATGTCCGACCACCGTCTCGAGCATGTAGAGAATGAGCTTGGCTCATTGGCTGCGGGTCAAAAGGAACTGCACTATGAAAGCAAGAACGTCTCTTGAAACATATGGAGAGCACGTTTGCTCGTTTTTCTGCTCGTGGTGGAGGACATGAGGATGATGTCGAGTCTTCTCGCGGACCCCGTCGTAGCCTTTCGGGAGGAGGCTCTCTCGCACTCAAAATCACTAAGTTGGACTCTCCAAGCTATAATGGCATGGATGATCCAACCGGGTGGATTTGTCGAGTGGAGCAATTTTTCGAGCTCCAAGGCACGGAAGAGGCGGAAAAACTCCCCATGGTCGGTTATCACTTGGATGACAATGTTCAATTATCAATGTTTCAAAAATCGACGAGAAAGCGTTAATTGAGAAGTTTTCAAGTATGAGTTGCATTTACAATATGGGCCTTCAAGATACCAAAATTTCTTTGGGGATCTCACCAAGCTTAAACAAACAGGAAGCATCCGCGATTTTTGGACTTTGATCATTTGTTACATCGAGCTTGTCATTTGTCTGAAGAACAACAAGTCGGGTGCTTTGTTAGCAGGTTAAAGGATGCAATACGAGTTGATGTGCAAGCATGTAATCCAATTTCATTGTCCGCCGCTATCGGTCTGACACAACTTTATAAATCTCGTATGTATGACCAACGGAAAGAAGGGTATGTGGAACCTCCGAAGGCTCCATCCACCATAGGACATCCACCCTTACCCTCAACATCTCTTACTCAAGCTCGTAACCCCACCATCAAGAGGTTTAATCCGACTCAGTTGCAAGAAAGGAGGATACGCGGATTATGCTTTAATTGTGACGAAAAATTTTCCCCAGACCATCGTTGCAAGAAACTATTTTTCATTATTTTTAATAGAAGGAATTATTTTTCCTTCTATTGATGAGCCGTTGGAGGAGACTACCATAGAGGAGGAAGCAGAAGAAGAGATTCCCTAAATCAGTTTTCATGCTATTTCAGGAAATGTGGCACCTCAGACCATGCATTTTTTTGGAAAATTTGAAGATTCTGGGGTTACAATATTGGTTGATTCCGGTAGCACTTATAACTTTTTGAATTCAATGTTAGCTACCAAAATGAGAAATTATCATATAAAGAAAGAAGAATTCTAAGTTCAAGTGGCGGATGAAAATAAGATGAAAAGTGAAGGATTGTGTGAAAGACTTCCTATTTTAGTGCAAAATGTTCAATTTCACGTAGATGTTTACCTTTTACCAGTGGAAAGATGTGATGCTGTTTTTGAAACTCAATGGCTTAAAAAACTGGGTCCAATTATTTGGGAGTTCAATGATCTATGGATGCGGTTTTGGTGGGAGGGGAAAACAATAGAGTTACGTGGGACCAGAGGGCCTAACAATAAAATCATGGTTGATCAAGATCTAGAGGAGCATTTGCGGAAACGAAAAAGAGCTTTTTATTACAATTTAATTCCTTAAAGTTGGGAGAGAAGCAAGGAGTTGCAGCAACCGATTTAAATCCAGATTTAATGGCTATTTTGAATCAACATTCGGTTATATTTCAAGAGATTCAAGGCTTGCCACCTCAACAATCTCAAAACCATAAAATTCCATGGGAAAATGGAGTTAATCCAATCTCAGTCAAGCCTTATCGATATCCCCATTTCCTCATGCCATTTTGGAAACTAGCACAAAAGGAGGAGAAATTGAATTTCTTGTTCATTGGCAAAATCTTTCTCCTGACGCAGCCACATGGGAGAATCTGGCAGAATTGAAGACAAGTTTTTTTCCTTGAGGACCCTTGAGGAGGAAAATTTTAAGGAGGGAAGAGTTGTCACGGACCAAGAATCAGGGGATGGGAGTGATTAATGCTTACCATCAATAATTACATTAAATGAGATGGGAGTGATTGATGTTTACCATCAATAATTACATTATTGTTATTTCTTTTCAATAAATTAGTACTAGAATTATGCTATTGTAATTTTCCTTTCCATTAGAATGATTTATTGTCATTCCATCCAAAGGTTGTTCGGCTATTTATTAGATTGAGGCCAATAATGAAAATCATCTGATAAGTATTATTTTCAACCATGTGTTGATTGGGAGTTGTGATTTTTCTCAAATTAAACCAACTAAGGAGGCTGAGAATCTCTCGAAGTATCCTACAATATTACCAACATAGGTAGAGCACGTAAGGACGATTCTTATTCTCTACCCATTCACAAAACCACCACAAGGTCACAAACAGACAACACCTTCACCAACCTCTCAACAAACACGTCATCCAACTAAAACGGCTGCTACAATATATCAAAGGCTCTAACGACAAAGGTTTACCCATACGCAAATGTGACTTAAAACTCCAAGATTTTTCTGACTCAGATTGGGTCGGTGACTCGATGATCGCAAATCTACTACCGTGTGCTATGTGTCTCTTGGCACCACTCTCACCTCCTGGTGTACTAAGAAGCAAACAACTGTGGCCCGCTCCTCAACTGAAGCCAAATACTGTGCCCTGTCCATCGCTACAGCTGACATTATTTGGTTGAGGCGGCTGCTTATAATTTCAAATTTCCTCTTTTTAGGCCAACTCCACTCTACTATAATAATATTTCAGCTCTAACTGTCGCAAATAACCTAGTTTTTCATGCGAGAACCAAACATATCGAGATTGATGTTCACTTCATTCGGGGACTGTATCAAAAACAAACATATAATTGTTCAAATACTGATCAATTGGCAAATATTTTTACAAAAGCTCTCAACTCTAGCAGATTAAGCAATCTCTACAACAAGTTGAAACTTCCAACATGAACTATCAACTTAGGGGGCAGTATTAATTGATATATCTATCCTATAGCTTATAAGAAAATCAAGATTGATTTAACAACTGTCATAATCCTGGCTTATTTGATATATGCTCTATAACTATAAATATAGGTGACTGCAGCATATATGGTGCTAATGTTTTATAGAAATAAAGCCACGGGGTTTTCTTCTCTTTCTTCTCATTAATTTTCTGCATCTCGTTCTCCTCTATTTTTTTTTCTCTTTCATTTCTTGAATTCTACATGCAGAAACTCTTCTCGTTTCCTGCTTTTTTACCTTTTCTTTCATATCTTTCCATTCTGTGATTCTGTGCTTTTGTGCGTACATTAATGAGCTCTAAGCAAATATATCTGGTAGTCTGTTTAAGAAACTCTTGCAAGTCATCATATGCTTTGGAAACAACCAAACTTGTCAAACCGGGAAATATGAACCTACAACTGGCTAAGGGTCTGTTTGGCGCGGCTGCCTAGCTGCTGCGCGGCACTGCCCCCCGATTATTTCGCGTTTGGGGCGGCGTCTCCTCTGCAGCAAGCCGCAAATCCGGCGGAAAGCGGAACGCGGTTAGCGACCCGTGGCCAAGCTTCGCGGCAGATTTGTTAAAGTGGTTTTACGTTGGTGCCCCCTTGCCCTAAGCACGAGCGGAGCTTTCCCTTTCCTGGATCTCCTCAACTCCCGAGCGTCCGAGCATCTTCGTCTTCCCGAGCGAAAGTTTCTCATCTCCTCCTCTTCGCCAACTCCGAGCATCACTTCTGTCAGCCTAATTTGTCCCCGTTTCGTCTAAAGTTTTGCTCCTCTCGCAGAATTCCAGTTGGAGAAACCCTGCCGATCCTCTGCTCGAAGCGATGAAGTGTTTTGTGAGTTTATTTTTTTATCATCTAATCTAGTTTCGTACTCATCATTTGTGATTTCTAGGACAATATAAAGTTTCAGTACCTTTTTTGTCTTACTTTAGAGCAATTTCAGTTCACATATACCATGGAAGAGGTCATAGAAGGAATCAAAGTCATGGTTATGGTGAAATTCTATTTAGAAGTGTTTAGAACTGTTTTAGTACCTAAAAAGTCTATAGTTTTTTGCAATTTAGAGAATTTGTAGTATTTCTTAATTTTTTGAAATATTTTGAAGTATTACATATGTCGCTGTCACAGTTCTGTTTTAAATAATTTTATCAAATAGGGGCAGCATGGTCATTTTTCAAAAACAAATACCCAAAACTGTTTTCACATAGCTGCACCAAACAGACACCCAGCTTCCCCGCAGCAGCTTACTGGGGCAGCGCAGCTACCGCTAAAAAGCTGAGAAGCTGCAGCTGCGTCAAACGGACCCTAATAGCAGCATATGCACTTCCAGTATCAATCTTCCCATCAGATTATCTTTCTATAGAATCAGAATGCTCTTCAAAATTCAGAATAGCACAGGAAATACTTCACCTTCCAAATCCGCAAATAGATGAACTAACATAGAAATCTTCGTTCGATGAATTACGTAACTCAAATTGAAGAGCTAGGGAATTACATGTACCTCCACCACCACTAACAAACAAATACTCTGTTAGAATAAACGCAAAAAAATCGATCCGACACATAAGCACCGGTATTTCGGTGGCCCAACTACGGTATTTAGTTCAAAGAAATGCATCAAACCTTATCTTCTGGAGAGACATGGCAACAACGGCTAGACAACTCATTAATCGATTCGGCAAAAAAACAAAAATGAATGAACACCAGACCTGCTGATAGAGCGCTTCGAGCATCTCCTTGCTCGCGGTTTCGATAGACCCCACGAAGAGACAGGAGGGCCCCTCCGCCGCCGCGGCGACAACAGCCGTCGAGATGCTGCGTTCGGTGCGGGCTCTCGCGGAAGAGAGCCCAGCATGCAAGCGGCGCACCGCAGCGGCGGCGCCTCCGCCGAAGAAGGAAGAAGAAGACGAGTGTGCCAGTAAGGAGTGAGGCATGGGCCGCGTGGAATGGACAGAAGATGGATCGCTTTCCTTGCCCTAGGTAGCGGCCACCATGAGCGGATCTCGAACGCTTGATGAGACTCCTCCTTCTGGCGCTATTCTGTGGCTTCCGATGCTTAGCTCCAGTCTCCTCTCACAGTCCCCACTTGCTTCACCGGATCTCTCTCCCCACTCAAATCCTCTAATTTTAATTTTCTTTTATTTATTAAGAAATTATAGGGTCATGCCTTCATTGATTTTTTTTCTTATTTATAAAATTATTATATTTAAATTTTTTAAATTTAATATAGCAAAATTTAAATTCTTTTTTTTTCTTTTTTTATCTAATCCCTAGCAATTTAATCCTGACTCAAAATTTAGGAAAATTTTGAATGTTATTTATGTAATTCCTTCCAAAAAAAAATAACTTTTCAAAAACATAATCACTAGTTTTCTAAAACATAAAATTATTGTATAAAATTGTGAAATTCTCTCTCTAAAGTTTGGTGACCACCACCACAAATAAAGGAAAAAAAATTTGCATATATAAGAAGTACGCAGAGCTGCATACATTTTTCAGGTTATATGGAGGGTATAAAGAGGTTTTATCCGCGTATAACCCCTTGTAACATCCATGTAACCCATTGTAACCTACCTGTAACAAACAAATAAGTTCTTAATATATGAAAACAGAAGCGTGAAACTTATTTATAAGTTACAGGTAGGTTACACTATGTTACATGAAAATTACAAGAGGTTATGACATGTGTATAACCCTCCTTATAACATCGGTATAACCTCGAAAAAGTACGCAGCGCTGCTTACGTCTTACGTACGTAATTTTTCCCCAAACAAAGAAAGGCTAACTCCCAAAAACCTCATTTAATTTTTTTTTTTTGAGTATTGAAACTTTTTTTGAAGACCACAAGTTTTCATTCTTTTGATTTATTAGCCGTCTATGTAAGAGAGAAAATAATATGTGTGAATAATCAATCACATTCGAGCATAAACATTCTTTCATTGTGTATCTCATCATGTACTCAAATATGAATCTGATTAATTACCCACACATATAAACAACCGCATGTAATATTTTCTCCTGAAGATGATAAGATTGAAGATCATTATCAATCCCAATCTCTAAAGAAAAAACTGGAATAAAGTTGCAGAGAAGAAACAGAATGCTGCAGCGATTTCTCTCTCATGAGTGGCCCTGAATAAAATTCTTATTTAAACTGTGCAATTTTATAATTCAAAACACAGAAAAGCTACAATTAATCTTCTCTCTATCCAAAAAGCAAAAAAAACTATAATTTGAAATGCAGCAGAATCACCTAAAAAGTAAATCTAACCAGAATCAGAACACAAAACTATCATACATAGAACATCTGTCCAACGTTCAACAAGCTCTCATGGGGAAGATGAAACATCACGCTGTTCTCTCTACAAATCCTCCTGAGAAAAGCATAAACATAATCCACAGCAAACTTCTTCATGAGGTTTGAATCCCTTCGAGCCCTCACCATCGTGTTGCTCAATATATGCACCACTCCAGCTTCCTTGCATCTCTTCAAGAAATCAATCTCCTCATTCGTTATCTGGCTCGTGGGAGCCGACGACCATGTCGCAGAGCTTCCCTGCACCGGCATCGAATCTAGCGATGAGGTGTTCTTCACCTCGATGATGGAGCCTAGGGTATCCATATATTCGGCTTCAAGAAGATCGATGGACTTTGCATTCTGCTGCGCTGAAAAGGCGCACTGATCATCCGAATCCGAGTCGCGCTCCATCATCGCCTCGAGACGGACAAATGTGGAGATGCTGTCAAACAACATCTTCTCGAAATCATCATCCTTCCTGAGCATGTCTTTGTATCCGTATCTCGCGACACAACGAAATATATGAAAGTTTTTCGTGCCGATTCGTTTCACGAGGAAGCGCTCCTGTATGGGAACGGTGTAGACGGGAAGGTACTTGACGCAGACGAAGACGACGATGGAATGGATGGCGGGAAGATTGGTGATGAGGTGGGAGAAGATGTGAGGTACTCCGCTCGCAAGTTCGGTGTAGACGAAGCCGATGCCTGGAACCCGAACGAGGCCGAGACCGGGGCCTAAACCTAGAATCCAAGCTATGGAGACTCTGGAGTGCATTTCGAACTCGTAGCGCTTGACTGTAACGTAATGCCAAACATACATGATGAAGAGGAAGATGGCGGCAATGGCGAGTGGCACCCATCCACCTTCATTGACCTTGAACAGGACTGCAGAGAAATAGGTGAGTTCGACCAGAAGGGAGAGGACGGTGAAGAGGACGATGAGTATCCAATGGCTTCGCCATACCAATAACATTATAGGAATCATTAACAAGGTTGTGACCAGCAAGACGATCACGACAGCAGTTCCTGTTCGGAGAGAGAATCAGATTAGTATAAGATCAAGTGCTGTTGCTGATTATAATATCCTGAAATGAGAAAAAGCGGTTGTATAGCTCTCTGGGGATGTTGCAACTGTTTGTTTAGAGCAATTTCTTTAAAGCTATTATTAGTATTACAAATTATTTTCTTCATGATAAAGCAAAAACAAGTTTCTTATAAATATCATAGTCTAATAATATCTAGTTATAAAATTTCTCCCCACCAGCTTCTAAGAAACAGCAAGGAAGCAGTAACAAAGAAGACTATAATTAATGCCTTGATAGCAAAGCCCCAAGTTAGCTCAAACAGATGTAAAATCAATAGATTTTTCAGTGTCATCTCTTAGTTCGATATCATGAAAAGATTTGATCTTTGCCAGCTTCTCATATAAGCATTGCACTTTGGATAATCCTCCTCAGAGATAAAAAAATATAGGGAAATTTACCTACATACAACACAATTTTATGTATTTGGATATCTAGCATTAAAACATTCATATTTAACATGTGTACCACTTAAATCATTAACATCGCAACAAAAATCGCAACAAAAATACCACCATACAACAAAAATACCACCATAACTATCTTTTTAAAAGTGAAATACAACTTTTCATGCATAAGTTCATGGCGCCAAGGTGTTGAAGTCAAAATATCAAACTTTCGGTGTTAGATATATAAATATATAAGAATTGTCTGATATATATGTAATTTTTAAAAAATTTAATGAGAGTCTGTTGTGTTGGTGCCTAGCCTAAAGAGTAATTTTATCCTTTGTGCCTAAAGAGTAATTTTATCTTTTGTGCAACTAAGAACAATTTTGCCTTTTATTATTTATTATTTTTTAATATAAATAGGATTAATATATTTAGGGTCAAACTTATTCATGAGATTGGGTCTTGAATCTTAGGATTAGCATTTGAGAGAGATTTTCTACATATCTAATGGTAGGATTTGGGAGAGATCACCTACCTCTTGAATTGTAGGTGAAATAAACTGATTTTATTGCTTGTTTTGATGAAATAAAATATTTATTTTGTTCTAACTTCTACGAAGAATCTTATCAGAGTCACTAATGCATGACAAACAAGTTGGAGATCAGCATGTGTACCATAAGCATTGCCAATCTGGCTCTGATTTTTGAACCCAGCAGTAACAGCAATGCAGAGGATCATCAGAATCCAGTTAATGTCTGAAATATATATCTGTCCAAGAAATTTCTTTGATGTGTGGACAACCTTGACCCTAGGGAAGCAACCAAGAGCAAATGCCTGCTTGATTATTGAAAAGGTTGCAGAAATGGTGGCTTGGCTAGCAATACTAGCTGCAGCTGTCGCAATTATAAACATTGGCCAGTATATACCATCTGGAACTTAAAAGAAGAAGAAAAATCACAATCTTTTCACAAGGAATGTATCAATAAAACATGAAACAAGGAAAGTGCCAAATTAGTCCCCAGACTATTCAGATGACGTCATTTTAGTACCATAGCATATAAAAGTGTCAAATTAGGGGCTATTTCAACTGATATTAAAAGAGTATGCGGACTAAATTGACATTTTTATAAACTATGGGACTAAAGTGACCCCTGCAAAGAGTCAAGAGATCATTTTGACACTTTTTTTTTAGTAATGAAACTAAGGTAGAAGAGTGAGAAGAAAGAACCGACCTGGAATTGACCTATAAAATGCATCAAAAACGTGATCATGGTGTTGCATGATGTAAGCTGCTTGGCCGGTGTACGCCAACAGAAGACATGGGAAAACAACAACAGTAAAGGCGATCTGCATCAAAAGCAAAGCTTAGAGTAACAGACAAATTTGGAAGAAGAATAAGGTTGCTTAAGAACACAGCACAGTTAACCTGTACAGCAAGGACCGGAAAATGGCACAGGTCGGCAAATAATACATCAGTTCCTGTAAAAAGAGAAAAATATGTCAAAAATAAAAATAATAAGAAAAGAAAGATAAAATTTTTAACATTTTTTAGAAAATAACCTGTAATGCTAAGCATAATCCCTCCCAGGGAAGTCAAATTTTTGTGGCCACCTTTGAAATATCTAACTATGTGAAGTGGATTAAAGGCTTTGAGAACTGAACTGTCATATTTGCATAAGTTGAGCGCACCTATGGATCCTATTAGCAGGAACCAGATGAGAACAATGGGAGCAAAGAGCCAGCTAACTCTGTCAGTACCATAATGCTGCACGCTAAACAAACCTACTAATATAACCACCGCCACCAGTACAACCACATCTGCAATAAGATGGACATCAGAAAAACCATTTAGTAAGGATAACAAGCAACCTTAAGGTCAAATGTGCACCGATTCGAAGTTGCGGAAATATCAGATTCCAAATATAGTTGAGGGATTTAATATACATACCAACCCAATTTTCTTAGTTTAAATATCAAACATCTAAAATAGCACGTTTATATACTTAAAACATAAAACCTATTAAACCCACAAGCAGGGGCAGAACCGGCATTAATTTTTAGGTGAGGCAAAATCACCAAATATCCTTTCTTCTTTTTCCTTTTTTTTTTTTTTTTTGGAAATATTGAGCACTATGTCACCTCACCCTGAAATGCTGCGCAAATCCTAAAAATCCTTTGCCCTCATGTTATATTGTTTGCTTCTAGCGCACTGTTCTGTGACATCACAACTCAGGATTTAACCATCGCTGCTACTAGCACGCTTGTCGTAGTTGTCACCATTGCCTTGCTCTCTGGACCACCACTTATTCAGACACTGCCGCTGTCGCTTGTTCCCTGCCTCCTGTGAAACACTCGTCCTTGCATCTTGGTAAATTTTTTTTGGGGTATTTACAGAAGTACCACCCAATTCTTATGTATTTACATATCTAACACCTAAATTTACTTTTGCATTTTTAACACCTCAATCTTTCATTCAAGATAAAAAATAACACTATTTTAACTTAAAAAAAGTGAAATTCACCTTTTTATGCATAAGGTGGCATATAGGTTAAAAAAATGAAGTAAAAGCATTAGATTTGCAATTACATAGGAATTACATGGAATGCATGTAAATCTTCCAATTTTTTTTCCCGAGAGAGAGGTGACACTGGTAAATTTGTGGGTTTAATATGTTTGTAGTGGTAGGTATGTAAATATACTAATTTTTTATAAATGTAAAATGAGAAATTTTTTAGGGTATATATATAAATTCTATAATGCAGTTAAGCACATGATGATCACACCAAAGGTTTCCTAAAAGTGGTTTTCGGTATTACTTTAAGAAATTATACAACAAAAACAGAAACCAAACATTGAGAGCACCCTGGATAAAGCATGCATATTAAATGAAAAAATAAAATGCGAAATGATCCCTTGACAATTTCAAAGGGACCATTTTTGTCACACATTATAAATGTATTTAATTCAGTTCCTTTGCTCCTCAAATATAATTCAAGATAATCTATCTGTCTGATAATTTTGAATCAGATTTGAATACTAAATGGATTATTCTGAATCAGATTTGGTCGGCCAAGGAACTAGTTTAGACACATCAGAACATTTAGGACTAAAATAACATCTCATCATAAGTTTAAGAACCATTTTATCATTTTTCTCATAATTAAACTTACCACTACTTATGCTAGGGCGATTCACCTTGATTCCACCAGATGCAGAGAGAACTGCAAAAGGAAAGTTAACCTTGAAATCAGAAAAGAAAAATATATATATGGAATTTCATTAAAATGTCAACCGGATGTCAGCGGTTAGCAAACTAAAAAAGCCATATGCACTAGGGGAGAGAAACAAATCCGCAATTTGAAAAATGAGACATGCTTAATGATAAATTTAAACATCACGTATAATGCAAAAGAGACATGAGATGAGAAAAAAATCTAATAAAATCTAGAAAGATTTACATGCATACCACTCAATTCCTATATATTTACATATCTAACACCTAAACTTCATTTTTACACGCCACTTTACCTATGCATGAAAATGTGTATTTCATTTTATAAAAGGTAAAATGTTGATATTTTTAATGTGATATGAAAGATTTGAATTTTATAAATGTAAAAAAATAGAATTTAGGTCTCCTATATGTAAATACATAAGAATTGTTTAATATGAAAATAAAGACGGGCATAAATAAAAGCAATGAAAAGCACGTACCAAAGAAATAATAGTAGAGAAATAAAGAGGCGTTTACATGCATAGCACATAATTCTTGTGTATTTACATATCTCACCCCGAAACATACATATTTACACAAAGCACTCAGTTCTTTAACATCACATCAAACATAGCACTATTATCACTTTTTTAAAGTGAAACACAGCTTTTCATGCATAGATTTAAAGTACCAAAATACTAAGTATGAATTTTTAGGTGTGAGGTAGTACCTGAAATAGCCGGAGTAAGAATACCATCCCCAATGGACATTGAAGTCCCAACAAGAACAAGAATAAGAACAGCATTTTTCTTGTAAGCATGAGCCTCTAACCAGCGCTTGAGCTTTGCTGCGAATGAATTCTCATCATATGTCTGGCAACTATATGTTGTTAACTCTTCATCGGTTCTATGCTGGTTGGGAATAGTCCTAATTTTTGCATGTCGACAGAGCAGGGAGTATAGGGCAAAAGTACCTCCTGAAATATCAGAGCATAAAATCATTTTTTATGTGATAATAAAAGGAGGAACGCTAAAGAAAATAGTATTTATTGGCATTACATAAAATATTAGAGAGCATTTAGTAGCAATGAGCACATCAGTTAGGCAATTATATTGGCATTCATAGAATCTCATCGTCTAAACATATTTTATTACTTAAGATATGAGTTTAGCACCAACAGAAAGTTTCAGATTTTAAAACAATAAAAAAAAAACTGATTTAGCTTATTCATTTTGGCGACAAAACATACAATTTAGTTAAATAAAATAAATGAATTAAAAAAATGTCCTCAATAATGTTTCTTCTCCATAAAAACCACATCACCTACTAAACACTCCGAAGACCAAAAACGATTGAAATAGAAAGTTCTCACGAGAAATTCTTCATGAGGAAAATATCAAAATAGCCCCCCAACTATTTGTAAAACGGTGGTTTTAATCCCATACTATGTAAAAAGTCTGATTTGTCCCTAACTTCTTTAAACATGGACCAAAATATTGAATTCATTAGTAAATATAATTTCCTAATTTCTTGATTGCGCTGAATAACTCAGGAAAAGGTGACAAGGAAGTAATGCATCATAAAAGCATTCGGTACATTGGTGAGATCCATTATTGCTTTTTTGTTGTTTGATTATAGTTCGTTAACATCATTATTATTACACAACAAAATAGTGATGCGATATGAAGGAGAAATCGGTACAATTTTGCACAAAGATTAAAGCAAAGCAAATTCTTTTTGTTATTAATCCAAAACAACACAAGTATATAAAGGATAAAACACCAACAATTCGAGAGGTGGGCCGTCTCACTCAATTCTTACAATTCTTGAGGGAGAAAATCTCTCCTAAATACTAACCCTAAGACTCCAAGACACCAATTCTCAGGTATCAGCCAAACCCTAAACACATTAGCCCTGCTTATACTAAACAATAATAAATGACAAATGGCTTAATTGCACTTAGGCTAATAAAGATTAAATTTCACTTGGATGCTGTCATAACAAATAGGTGCAGCAAAAATCAAATTCTATTTTTAGGTTTTTATATTTATAACACTCCAAAGGTAGCAATTTTAAATTTTCAGTCTCCAACCAACATATATCAACCTCTACTACCAAACTCTTCTAAATATCTTTTCATTATTTTGGCTTACTATACTACTTTCTAAAAGGTGCTAAATAAGGATGAAGATTCAATCTCAAAATATTTAAGAATTTATGAAGTGCACAAAGCTTGTAAGAAGTTCTTTTTCATGATTATCACTTTTCTCTATTATTTTTGGGGTTTGCTTAAGAATGCCTTGTATGGGGATAGTTAATTTTTCAAACAAAATTGAGAATGCATTGTATGGGATCGTATATCAACCTGTATAAAGTTCCCCTTTTTAAGCCAATTTTTGGGTATTCCTTCTGTCAAACAAGCTTATGATGCTTAATAGAGAATAATAAATATTACTTAATCATGAAATATGGACATTTAGGTCTTTGGGCACTTCATGCCGTTGTTTATATAGAAAATGTATGCTACAAATAAATGGTGAGCTGAGATTGCCATAGACACTTATTACATGACAATAAAAACTTATAAATTTTAATCAATATCGTCAGGAATAACAATGGTTATGTGATTAATTCACATATTGCTAAAAGGGAACACAAAGCTTTAAGAAAACATTATCAAAAGTTGTGCTTCACAAAAGATATGATTCCAAATGTCTCCAAAACTAACAACAGGATGTCGATTGGGTACTTGAAAACACAACAACAAAGCCTTAATCCTACTACGTGGGGACGGCTACATGAATCGTTTTTCTCCATTGCGTCCTATTTAGTGTCATATTTAAATTTTAATGGGTGCTTGAAAACACAGATAGATTTTAATGGGGAACACTTTATTTACTGAGGTGAAATGGGCCAATCATAAATTAATCTAAATCTAACCGGTTGTAAATTTGTTTACAAATTTTATGCAAAATCAATCAAGAAGATGCAGGGTTTATTTGGGGGTTGTTGGCATTGAAGTTTCAAATTTGTCTTATTGTCTGTCATGAGATGTCTAACTCAGTATAACTAAGAATAAAAATTAATTGGGGCATTTGCATAATATATAGCACCCGATTTGCATCCATTTACATATATAGCATCAAAACTTCACTTTTTACACATATAACACCAAAATAAATAATATCACATAAAAAATACCATTACATTAACTTTTACAAAGTGTAATGCACCTTTCATGCATAGGAAAGGTGGCCCATTTGTAAAAATTGAAGTTTAGATATTAGATATGTAAACACATAGAAATTAAGTGGTATGCATGTAAATCTTTCAAAGCATTTTGAAAGCAAGCTTGTTTTATAGGCTTCCTCCTATAATTGATTTGCAGTTTTAGATGAAGTGTTATTCTCATGATCTGAATGTCCTTTGTTTTTTTTTTTTGAGCATTTGAGAAATGGAAAAATACTTAATAATAAGTTTGTAGCACTTTACCTTGACCATTGTCATTTGCTCTCAACACCACAAAAACATATTTGAGGAGTGGGATAAGGATTATAGAGTAAATAATAAGAGAAAGAGCTCCAATAATATCTTCATGATTGTCCACTCCCTTAGGAAATGTGTTGTAAAAAACATACAAAGGTGATGTGCCCAAATCTCCAAATACCACCCCTAAGCTCTGAAATGCGAGCCTTAGAAGCAACAATGAAGAGAATTTCTGCAAAAAAAATTAAAATAATTAATTTACAATGATAAAATTCTTCATTATGATCATAAAAGAAATAAATAAAATTAATTTATCTTCTACCAAGTGACAGCAAAACTAAAGTAGGCATTATTCCAACTGTTTGTAATCAAATTCATGTCTTGGGTGCTCCATGAAGTTCTAACTCTACTTTATGGTAGCCTTCTATGCTAGCTTCAAATTTTTTTAACTTCAGTAAAAACTTTTCCATTCACATTAAACTATCTACCAGTTTTATTGGTGAATATTATGCAATGTAAATATTCAAACAGCCAAAATATATATATTTTTACTGCATTTTTGTCTTCAATAAGTGTCACATTCATCCTCTCTCTCTAATAAATCATATATCATTCTAAAAGTCTTTATTTTACCATAGACCAGGGGCCAATTTAAATTTTTACTTCTATGGGAGAGTAATTTAGTTTTTGGCTCTACTGAAATATTACTTTGTTCTTCGTTGTCCCTGCAGTATATATCTATTTTAATAACTCTATTTTGGACACATCTCGGCTTAATAACCACTAGCTTTTTGTTTTCCAACAGTAGAATCCATAATTGAAAGGTAAGATTGGTTTAATACAAAGAAGGGTAAAGTTTAAAATAATTCCTTTCTACGGAGCTGTAATATTAACTTCTCAAAGAGCAAAAAATAAAAAAATCTCATGAAAACGAGAAGATCAACTCAGAGAACAAAACGAGCAACAAATTTATATTAAGGACTCCAAAGGAAGTTCAGCAATCTCAGTTAAGAAATTGACCAAAGAAACTACAGAAATTGTGATCAAGTTCTTGAAAATTCACATAATGCTGTAATTGGAATATTCCAAGAATTTACATTCATTTTCCTAATATAGACAACACAATCTAAAACAAGCGTGGAAGTATAAAACCGAAAGAAAAATATCTGTCCAAAAAGAAAAAAAAAAAAAAAAGATTCGATGATAAGAGCAGAGATGAATCATAGGAGAAAAAACACAATACAGATTCATCTAAAAGAAAACCGCTTAAAATTTAAAAATAAAACAAAATAAATAAACCCAAAAGAAGCAGCAATACTACAAAACGCAAAAGAGCACCTACCTTCTCACTGTACATATTCCTAATCCTGCCAGCCTCTTCATCCATCGGCTGATCAAGCTTCTGATCCAAATCCCACATGCTTCCTTTGGATCCACTTTCTTCCGCCGGCACTGAAGCCATCAAAACCCTTAGCCACTACCAACAAACCCGCCCTGAAACTCCAAACCTAAACCCACGGCAGAGCTTAAGTCGCCTGTAAACACTGAATGTCACAATAAGAAAAGAAATCTCGTATATCGAATCCAATAGATGAGCGACAGCGACCTACAACTTCTCCTCAAGAACCCGAAGCACTTCAAATCCCCGAGCTGCAAAGCTCAATGGCTCGGGGTATCGGCTTGAGCTGCAGAAAGTGAATCCCGATCAGTGAAAGGGCTTCACATTCAAATGAAGAGAGCGGCCATGATCGTTCCTTCAACATGCCAATCAAAGCCAGAGAGAGAGAGAGAGAGAGAGTTGTCCTATGTTTCTTCCATTAATGCGCCTACAACTATTTTTCATTTCTTTCTATGTATCCGGAAAGAAGACAACGAAGGGCTATATTTTCTTATAATTAAAGCTGAAAACGAGTCCAACCTTCTCTTGTGATTTTCTTCAATCGGGTGATTATTGCAAATTTAAGATTGTGGTCTTACAATTTTGATAAGAATTTAGATAACATTTTTTGCAGTTGTGACCCGCATTTTTTTTCTTGTAGATGTGCTGACAAATTACGTTATGCGCATCAAATGGAAGTGGTCCATCTCACAAATGTAAAAAAAATGGATAGTGATGGTGTTGCTTGTTTACCGAATTTGTAAGCATTAATTTTTACATACATATTATTAGTTATGACTCATATATTATAAATGGGACAGATGTTGGAGTGAAGCGGAGCTCACGAGCGGAGTGGAGCGGAAGGATCTGCCCGATCGGGGGGATTTTCATTATGTGTGTTGGGAGTGCGGGGGCAACACGTCACGATTTAGTACATGAGTAATTTAAGTAATTACATATTATATTATTATGTTATATATATGTCATGTTTGTAATCCTAGGTGAGTCTCTGAGACTCCGTGAGCTGAATCTTGTATTATGTACTCTTTTCTGAATATTGAAAGAGATATCGATGCTCTGCTCCCGAAGATGTAGGCATCTTTGCCGAACCTCGTAAATCTCTGTGTTCTTCTGGATTTATGTGATTCCTATTTTCCTGCGCTCTAATTTCTCAACACATATCATAATTATTTATGAACAAACATTCAATTTTTTTAAATATTGGGTAAAAAAAAATAAGGAGATGCATAATTACTGAATTATATAAACTACACAATAATAAATGTCCCCTACCCGCACCCACGGCTCTTTTTAAAAATTATAATTATAATGATCTAAATATATTTATTTATTATTTTGTTAATTTTATCATTTATGTATGAATTTGCACTTTTTCATTCTTAATAATAAATGAAATTTTTTTTTTTATATATTTAGGCTTGAGTTATATATATATAATATATATATAGGTTTTTTTTAATTGAAACAATAATACACCTAGAGTATAGATATGTATATCACAGAAAATTATATGATCAAACAAGAATTTCAAAATATTTTTTATCAGAGAACATTCAAATACAAATTTGTGATCATCCAAGTTCCGATTTCATCGAAGTTAGAATCAAACTAAGAGTTTCTGAAAGTCAAACCCAATAAATCTAAAATTAGTTCAATCCTAGTCCAATCAAACCAATATCAATTTGTCGGAACACTGCTGAATGTTTTTTTATCATCAATTGAATGGTCGAATGAAATTTTAAATTTGATATATTTATAGTTCAATCATGTTTCTTGAAGAGAGGAAATCAACGAGCCTAAAATCGCTCAATTCTGATGTCAAAAACGAACCCAACTCATTAAAAAATTGCCTATGATAAAGGGGAATCAAGATGAACAGTCTAATCGTGGTTAGGGAAGTTATTCGCTAAAATACCAAATTACTTCTACCCAAAGAGCTATAAACAACAACTCACTTCACTTTGGGGGGATGGGGGATGAAGAAAAGATAGAGAAGTGAAATTCCAAAGCATGTTTTTGAAAGAAGATGGGATAAGTAACCACTGACCTCCATAGTTGACAGTAATCGTCAATCGCAGGCCTCTATAGCCATCGACCACCGTCAACCATTACCCACTGTCACCACTTGCAGCTGTCGGTCACTGATTGTGGGCGACTACTACTTACAACTATTATAGCTAGAGTATGGTTGTCTTTGAATTTCCTTACACTTACATTTTTTTAATCGTACAAAGAAATTGTTGTTTAATGGCAAGATTGTATCCACATTCTTTCTATCGTGATTGCAGGGTCTATCACAGTACATAAAAAACACATATTTGATTACTACAACTGGGCCAAACTATGTTATGTTTTCCCTTTCATGGTTATTCAATTTATAAACCATGTTGTCTCTTCTCATTATTTTCTAAAAGCTTTTATCCCACTAAGTGAGGTCGGCTACAGAGTCCTTTATTTCTATTGCATCCTATTGAGTGTTATATTTTTATTTAATTCTAATACATTACTAACATGTTTTATACAATATGCCCAAGTTTTTTTATGTCTACCTTTGTCGTTCCTAACATAAGTTGAATCTAAAATATCTATTCTTTTAACCAGATCATCAGATGCTTAACGTTTAATGTGACAAAACCATCTAAGACAACTCTTTCTAATCTTGTATACCACTAGAACAACACCGACCGTATCACTGATATATTCATTTCGCATTTTTTTCTCTAAGTGTCAAGTCATTTATCCACCCAGGCATTCTCATCTCAGTAACACATAACTTTGTTTTATGCTTCTCTTTTAAACGTCGACATTCTGCACCATGGAGATTTGCACGTCTCATCACCATCGTATAAAATTTTCCCTCTAGTCTAAGGAATACTTATCTATCACACAATAGGCCCGATGCATTCCTCCAACCAACCAACTTGGATTCTACTAATAACATCTCCATCTATATCACCATCACTTTGAACAATACACCTAAAATATCTAAAACTTTCATACATTTTAACAATTTGATCATGCATAGTTACGATTTTGTCACTAAAGCTACTACAACTAAGATTGCATTTCTTGTCTCAATTACTCGTATATATGTTTTAAACATTAATTTTAGCCCAATGTGGCCGATTTCCTATGAACAAAATAGTCATGCACTCGCATTGGGTTCAAAAAATGCAAAAAAAATTAGTAGTTTTTAAGGTTCATTGTATCATCATGAACTTATTAAATTAAGTATGCACAAAAAAAATTAATTTAAAGGTATACATCTATCATTCATTCATATTTAATATCACATAAGGTTTTAAATTTATTTGAGCATCTTTTATAACTTCTATTAATGTAATTTTTTTTAGCATTTTTTAAAAGTTTACTTACTCAACATTTCACAATCTTATCGTCATTTGTTTTATCCACCTGGAAAATGTCCAAAAAAGTTTAAATCAAAATTTCATCAGCATACCTTCAAATGCGCTCCCTTCTTCTAATTAATCTATTTATTTTTCAAAATATGAATATAAATATTTTTCTATATAAATACCACCTAATTCATATGTGTATTTTCATATCTCAAACTAAAATCTTACTTTTAACATTTAAGTCTGTGATACTTGCTTGAAGATTTACGACAGTGGAGTATTGAATTATCATTTTAGCATTGTACGAGAATTCAACACGGATGAAATAAATAAATCAGCATAAAATATCAGAAGTTTTCACGTGGAAAACTTAGAAAGAAAAAAAATCACAAGGTCCAGCCCAGTTGTAAGAATTCACTTTAAGTTGATTATTGCAGTGACTCATTGTCTCACAAGCGAGAAATGGTTATAAAGTTTTTGAATAACAAGGTCGACACATAGATAAACTTGTCATGACAGTGGGCGGTGACCAATGTTGATCACCGACGACTGACAAGTGATGGTCGGCAGCGGTCGACTGTTGGTGTTTGGCTGTGATCGGTGGCTGGTGTTCGGCGACAATCGACGACCAGTGGTTAGCAATGATCGGCAACAAAGTGATACTTAACCTTAGCTCCTTCTCCGAGTTTGAAGCTCTTCTTCAGGCTTCAAGCCCCTTTCATGAGATGGGCGGTGCACGATTTATAGTCTTTGTTGCAATTAATATAAGAATATAAACTATCATAATCAGACGGCCCAGAGATGTTTCCTCAATCAAACGATGTTTGATGGACATTCGAGGGTCTTAACAATGTTGGAATTGAGCGAACTTAGGCTCGATGAATTCTTCTTGTCGAGACGCTCAATTTGTCTATAAACACTTCAGATTCGACATATTTTTGACCTTTCAAATGTCTGAAAAACTTATAAAAGCATTTTGATGGCTTGATATGAGCTTGATATAACTTGGATTGGACTAATTTTGTGATGTTGGATCTGTCTCGTTGAATCGGTCAGTTTGATTAAGTTTGCCGAAATTAGATTTCTTGATGATTTTTAATCGAAGTTTGAATGTTTTTTTGCTCAAAAGATTGTCTTGATATATGTACCATGCTTTGAAATTTGTGTCGGATGATTGGAGTTTGATTATGGTGTATTAGCTGCCCCTTATTTTCAGAGAAAATTTTACGTCCGGATTACGGTGTGTGTGTGTGTGTGTGTGTGTGTGTGTGTGTGTGTGTGTGTGTGTGTGTGTGTGACATCA